CTAATAAGAGAAAAAGGACTGTCTTTCTCCAGATTTGTGGCCAACTGGGAGTCACACATGCATGCCTTTTGATTCCATTGTCCCTTGGTAATTCTTCACAGCATGAAACAATGGTGAATTTCAGAGTGTTTACTTCCTTAATGATGCAAAATAACAAGAGAACAGTGTGCTTTGATGAGATTGTCTCCCCACCCCCTGCTCATCTTGCAAGCATCATACTTTAGAGACAGCATCTTTACCATGTCTTCAGCTGACAAATGGCACTCTCAAACTTGCCATGTGACCCTTGGGCCTGTTTTACCTCCTGTGTCACCTTATATGGAAATAATAACTTCAGAGACGGGATTATTGAGTTAAGGGGGGTGTGGTTGAAGAAATGGCCCTGGGTCAGCAGAGTGGGTCCAGTGTCACAGTGTCCTTCTGGAAGGAGATAGCAGATAAGGGTGAGGGAAAGTGATAAGACAGTAGAAGCAGAGAGAGATTGGCAGGTGCTCTGCTGCTTTGGAGAGGGGATCTTGAGCAAGAAATGCACAGTTCTAGGCATTTCTAGAAGTAATCTCTAAACACTAGGCAGGCAAGGAAAGAGTCTCCTCTGGAACTTCAGAAGGCATGAAACACTGTCAAACTACTCCAGGCTCTTCCCAAGCAGTAAGGGGGTAAAGTCATGCTCTTTTTTTGTTTGTTTGCTTTTATTTTTGTTTTTTGTTTTTTTTTTTGAGAAAGGGTTTCTCTGTGTAGCTTTGGAGCCTATCCTGGCACTCGCTCTGGAGACCAGGCTGGCCTTGAACCCACAGAGATCTGCCTGCCTCTGCTTCCTGAGTGCTGGGATTAAAAGTGTGCGCCACCAACACCTGGCAAGTCTTGCTCTTTTAAGCATTTAAGTTTTGTCTAATTTGTATAGCAGCAAGGGCAGTAGTATGCAACGCATTGTAACCAAGTCTAGAACTGCTTGTGGAACTAGTATCTAGGTAACTGTTTTCATCGTCAGAGTAGACTGGGCTATGGTATAGTAACAAACACTCCTCTTAGCATTCTCAAACAAACTGGCCTTCTTTATGGTTCAGGCTGTATGTCCATCTCTAGTCAGAAAGGCTGTATATCCTGCCTTCACTCAGGACCCCAGTTCACTCCCTACACTGCATGGAATGCAGCTCGTCAACCATGAGGGTCAAGGGAACATGAAAAATAGCATGTTTTAGTTTTTATTATGATTTTGTGTGTGTGTGTGTGTGTTGCCTGTATGTCTGTACACCACATGCCTGGTGCCCAGGGAGGCCGGAAGAGGGAGTCAAAGCTCCTGGAACTAGAGTAACAGATGGCTGTGAGCTGCCATGTGGATGCTAGAAATCAAACCCAGGTCCTCTGGAAGAGCAGCCAGAGCTCTTAACCTTAGAGCCAGCACAATGGTTTTAAAGGCTTCCTTCCAGCGGTTTCACACATGACTCACTGGCATGCAGGTGACACAGCCATGCTTAGTTTCAAGGAAGCTGGGAAGCTTTTCATACCATTTGTCCAGAAAGGGAGAACATGAATATTGGTGAAGAACCCTGAATGCCACCATTCTTCCTGACTGCTGCTTTCCTTCTACACCACGTTTGGCAGTTATTACTGGCTAAGGATTAAGGCTTAAATGCTATAGCTGGCTCTGGACTTGTCTACATAAGCAGGTCTTATAGGACACATGGCTCCTTAAACTTACCCCACAACTCCTTTTTACTTGGGGAATTTTTATGTATATAAGTATATAAAACAGGTATGAAATCAAATATTTACAGCTAGTAAATCATGAAGACATTTATTTTAAATAGCCTTTTGATATACATATAATTTACTGTTTACTAAAGATGAAAGCAAATTTGCATACTGATGAGATGAATGTGGTTGTTTGTGTTTCATAAAGATTTCAGTCTTAGCCAAGCAGTGGTGGCACACACCTTTAATCCCAGCACTCGGGAGGCAGAAGCAAGTGGATCTCTGAGTTCAAGGCCAGCCTGGTCTACAGAGTGAGTTCCAGGACAGCCAGAGCTACATAGAGAGATCCTGTCTTGAAAAATAAACAAACAAAAAGAATCAGTCTTGGCTTAATATCTGGTTCTATAGGATAAAGAGCCAGAACAATCTTGGATAAATGAAGCCAAGAGTAGGCTAATTTTGGTCAGCCTAGAGTAGCAGTTCTGGATGGTATAATCACCAGGTAGTTCTGCTGCTGGGCAGCCCTTTCCAGCTCCATGTTCAGTGATGTCACACAGCAAGCTTGAGAGTCAGCCTGATGGGGTACTTAAAATATGGAACTCAGCAAATGTTTCACTGTTTATATTTTAAAAAGTGGCTGAGAAAAATGCTGATGATGCTGATCTTAAGTGTCTAAAGCTATCACCTGTGAGCTGCACAAAAGCTGAGGAAACCAGCAGTCATTCAAGTCTTTGACCAGTGAAGTTTTCAGAATGTTCTTGTTGTTTCAGTTTAGTCTTAGGTCTAATCAGGTCTACAAGGTGGGGGATTATGGGTCAGTGGTTGAGAGCACTGGCTGCTCTTGCAGAGGACTCAGGTTCAATTCCCAGAACCCACATGGCAGCTCACAACCACCTCTAACTCCAGTTCCAGAGAATCTGACATCCTCTTCTTGTGTCCATGGGCACTGCCTGCATGTGCTGCACAGAGATACAGGCAAACAAAACATCCATACACATAAAAATTACTAAAAATTTAAATCTCCAGCCGGGCAGTGGTGGCGCACGGCTTTAATCCCAGCACTCGGCAGATAGAGGCAGGCGGATCTCTGTGAGTTAGAGACCAGCTTGCGCTACAAGAGCTAGTTCTAGGACAGCCTCCAAAGCCACAGAGAAACCCTGCCTTGAAAAAAAAAACAAAATTTAAATCACCAGCATTCATGCCAGTATTATACTTATCTGTGAAAACAAAAGTTGACTATGAATCCAAAGGATAGGCAAAAATGAAAAAAAAAAAGTGTGTTCTGTGAAAATCATTTGGCAGTATGGAATTTACAATGAAATGAGCAGATATTCTCTGCTGCTGTTTTGGTTTTCAAGGAGTTTTGTTTGTTTGGTGTAGTTTTTGTTTTTTGTGGGGGAGTTGGTTTGTTTGGGTTCTGTTGTTGTTTTGGTTTTTCAAGACAGGGTTTCTCTGTGTAACAGTCCTGGATGTCCTGGAACTTGCTTTGTATTCCAGGCTGGCCTCGAACTCACTGAGATCCACCTGCTTCTGCCTCCCAAGTGCTGGGATTAAAGGTGTGCACCATTACCACCTGGCTGGTTTTGGTTTTTTAAGACTGGCTCTCACTATGTAGCCCTCCCTTGCCTGGAACTACATAAACCAGGCTGGCCTCCAACTCACCAAGACCTGCCTGCCTCTGCCTCATGAGTACTCTGGTTAAGGTCCTATACCAGGAGGACCTTAAGGCCTGGAAAATATTCAGAATATTTTTATTCCTGCCTAAAGTTCACTCCAGCTCTTTCATAGTCAACCCCTGATCTGATTCCAAATGCCACCACTGACCTGATTTCCATAGCCAGAGATTCCTCTGTTTTAATACTTTATAAACCTGAAATGACATCAAATGTTAGCATTCTTGTGTCTGGCCTGCTTAGGAGCATAATATTGAAATGCAGTTGTGTTAATGAAATGTCACTTTGCTCCCTGGCTGAGTAGTCTATTGTATTATCTTCTTCTTATTAGACACGTGTTGGTGCCAGATTTGGCTGAAATGGATACAGTTGCTATGAATGGTTTCTTTTCTTTTCTTTTGTTTTTGTTTTTGTTTTGTTGGTTGGTTGTTTTGTTGTTTGTTTTGTTGACATATATTTTCCTTTTTCTTAGATAAATATCTAGGAATAAAATTGCAAGCACATATAGCAAATGTGTATTTCATCTTTAAGAAACTGACAGCTTTTTTTCAAAACTGAGACTAGCCCCTTTAATCACTGCACTGCACTCCCCATATTTCATAGATTTTTGTTGTTGTTTGTGTATTTGTTTGTTTGTTTGTTTGGGGAAGGATAAGCTGGATAATGCCTATAAAGAGCTGAGCATATTACTTAGCATAAGCCTGCCTGTAGTTATTCCATTTACTGTCTCTAGCTGCTGATTTTCGGTCTCACTCTTAGCATTAGCTGGACTGTACGCCTCCACCACCTGCACTTGTGACCTTAGCAGCTGCAACTTAGCCCGAACCAAACTACACACTCTTCTGTCTTTGGGCTTAAAGTGGATCTTCTCGGCTACTCCAGCCTCCTTTCTTTATATCCTGCACATGCCCATGGCCTGTAGATCCTGCCCCCTTCTCAGCCCTTGCACGAGTCCTTCTGCCCTTCCCCTCTGCTGTCTTAGCATTCATTTAGCTGAAGAAGCTGTACCTTGAGGACTGCCACCCCCAATCTCTTGCTGACACTGTCACAAGAAGGCAGGGTTGTGCCTGTAATGCATACCTGTTGTTCCTCTATGGTTCCTTGGTGTTCTAGCCTCATCTCCCCCCACTGTTCTTGGCTTGGCTCCCACCCTCAATTTCTCCTTATAGCTGGACTTTGCTTAGATGTCTTTACTTCGTGCTGCTTGTGTGTGAAAGAGACATCCTTCCCTTCTCCTGCTGCTCCTGACTCATCACCCCATTGTCCCATTGACCTATCACCTTCGATAGTCTCATCAATACTCAGGCAGGGTGATTGTGAGTTCCAGGAAGCATTCTCTTGGCTAAGTGCCCCTGTTGAGAGCCTGGACCCTCAGTACTTATCCCAGAGTAAGTACTATAGCACTAATAGCCATGCATTGCTTAACACCCCCACCCCAGCTCCACCCTAGACCGTGAGGTCCCCAGGCTATGGAGTGGTTTTCTTCCCACTGGCATTGCTAGCAACTAGAACATAACAACTCCTTGGCAGATCTAGGAAGTAAGCACTTGTGTTGCTAGCTGACTTAACGTTAGAGTTGACCTACACAGCATCTGAAATTGCTGTGTCCTTACCCATCTTTCCTGTCATCCTCAGCCAGACGAAAATTCACTGGATTTTTCCTCCTGTATGTTACGGCCTGGGATTAAGAACGCTCAGGAGCTGGCTTGTGGGGTGTGTCTCTTAAATGTGGACTCTAGGAGCCGGGTAAGTTCTTGACTTCCCCCTTCAAGTGTCAAGGTTCACCCCTCACGTGACCTGGGGGACAGCCATGTGTAGCCCACTTTACAACAAACTCTGTGACCAGAGGTGGGGACTTGGAAGTCTAGAAAGTTCTACAGAAGCAGATATGTTTTTTTTTTTTTCCATGGGGCAGTGGGGAAGCTGCTGAGGAGGGAGTAGTCACAGCCCTTCCCTCCCTGCCAAGCGTGCAGTTCACAAGGTCTCTGCAGTACTCCATGAACAGGGGCGGGGTAGAACATGTCAAGCCATGTGGATTTACCTAGAGGCAAGAGGCCTGTTCTAGGGACATGGGTTGTTTTTTTGTTTTTTGGGGGGTTTCTTTTGACCTTATGGTTTCAACATTTCAGAAAGAAGAGAAGCCTGCAGCAGAACAGCCTAAAAACGTATGAGCCAGTTACAGGTTACCTTAGTGTGGCCATCTCAGCCTTGTGTGTAAGAGGTCAACAGGCAATTCTGTTGTCATCCTGGATAGTGCCAATTGTGAATCCTCTAATGACTCATTTTTGTTCCCATAATGTTTGATCAAACCAACTAATGTGTCTTTGTGGGGCCACTGCTGTCTTGTTTGCATGCTTGCAGCGGCTAATCAGCTTCTGGTGTTGTCATTTTTCTCTGCCATGAACCAGCACCTTCTGGAAGACTAGAAGTTGTAGTGACAAACATAATGAATGAGATCAGAGAGCTTCCAAACAAATGATTGGGGTTTGAAGATTCTGCCTGTGGTGTTTTAAGAAAGCAAACTGCAGAATGTTAAGTGGGTTACTAGAGCTACAGACAAGGGGTTCTGTTGTATGTCGACTCCGCTGTCAGCTCCCAGTGGCATTAGACTAGTGGTTCTTAACCTTCCTAAAACTGAAGCCCTTTAATACAGTTTCTCCAGTCGTGGTGACCCCCAACCACAAAATTATTTGTTGCTACTTCATAACTGTAATTTTGCTTCTGTTATGTATTGCAACATAAATATTTGATATGCAACCCCAGGGTGGGTCGTGGCCCACAGGTTGACAACCATGGCATTCGCCCATAAGCGTTAATATCAGTTGATTTCTAGTTCTTTTAAATGTTTTCAGTCCTGATAGGAGTATAACCAGCCATGGAACTCTAAGGGGCCACATGTTACAGTAATGGCAGCCTCCAGAAAGGAAACCGATTACCCCTTGGTTATTTTCGTTCCCATGTCGGGGGCCCATTCCTCCCTCCTGTAACCTTCCCTGCCTTTTCTGTGAAGATTGGGCCCTTTGCTGAAACTAGGGTGAATGGTACCGACTTTTATACCTTTAATTAGCAGTAAAATAAATAAACAAATCAGACTTTCTTACTTGAATCCTATAGCTACCTGCTCAGCTTTTGTCTGTGTGTGCCATTTTGGCCTCAGCCTCTGTGCCCCTGGGGACCGCCTGTGGTGGATACTGACAAGCTCTTAGATGTAGGAAGAGCCTGCTTGACCCATATCTATTTCTGGCAGGCATTCAACTCGGAAACAGACAGCTTCAAGCTGGCCTACGGAGGCCACCAGTACCACGCCAGCTGTGCCAACTTCTGGATCAACTGTGTTGAACCCAAGCCTCCCGGCCTCCTCCTGCCAGATCTGCTCTGAAAGCTGCTCAATGAAGCTCCAGCTGATGTTTGGTTGTTTCTGTCACATGACTCAGGGTGACTGGGATCAATAAACAGAATGCAAGTACTGCAAAGTTCCCTTCCATCCATCTCTTTGAAGCATTCCCTGAGAGGTGGGATAGAAAAACTGCAATGGAGGTTCCCATCAGACAGCCTTTGACCACTATCTCCCCCACCCCTTTGAGACTTGAGGTAAATTGGTAGACCTAAACTGCACGTGACACTGGACGCTTGTTTGCTTATCTCTTCTGGTTTTTGTCCATGGTGATGTTGCTTTGACTTTTTTTCCCCAAGGATAGGATCTTGATGCAAGCTCATGGCTGACCTTGAATTTGTAGCAATCCTCCTGTCTCTGCCTCCCAAGTGCTGGATCACAGGCATGTGCCACCATAACCTTTTCTCTTGTTCTCTTAAGATATTTTAAGATATGGACCACAGTTTTCTGTAAGGAGTAATCTGCTGCTGAAGTGCTTAAAATGTGAAAAATTAACTGAAGAAGAAAAGTAAGTTATTCTAGGACTGGAATCCGCAAGTTTGTCTCCAGCCATTGCTCGCTTATATCTCCAAATTTAGGGGCCCATCTCTCTGCATTTTGCTTGTAAATACTTGAAATGAATAAAAGGGCATTGTGATTAAACTGACACTCTGTACTCGTCTCCACTGGACAGTGGCAGGCAAGGAGGGCATAGCTCCCCTCTCCTGTCAAACCTCACCCTCTTCTCATTCCCTGAAACTTAGCTCTCAAGGAAATCATCCCTGATTTGACAGGGCCCAGAGCCTGTGTCAGATGCACACCTTTCTTGGAGCCTTTACTGAGATCCTGCAGTTTTGCCTCAACATCAAGACTGGTACAAAGCATGGTGTTTTTCCTCCAGACAAAATCTTTAACAACTGTAAAATGAAATCTCTTCATAGCGACCTCTCTCCACATTCCCAAAGATGTCTGCACAGGGGCCAGCAAGTGCAAGAGAGTGGAGTTCTGGGCCTAGTGCGGTGGTCAGTGGTCCTCAACCTTCCTAACGCTGTGATCTTTAATACACTTCCTCATGTTGTAGTGACCCCCAACTGTAAAGTTATTTTCATCACTACTTCATAAGTGTAATGTTGCTATTGTTATGAATCATAATGTAAATATCTGATATGCAGGATATCTGATATGTGACCCCTGTGAAAGTGGCATTTGATATCCACCCCCCCCCCAGGGTCGTGGCCCACAGGTTGGGAACTACTGGCCTAGTGAGAGGAATGGTAAGGTGTGTGTGTGTGTGTGTGTGTGTGTGTGTTAGAGAAACATACCTCAGATGCAGTGGAGGAAAGCAGTTAGCAATAGCACTGACTTTTCAAACATAAAGGCTCACCACACTGGTGTAGGCATTTGTCTTGTAAACAAAATACATGAAATTAAGAGACCCAAAGCTTCAGTGGTTAAAAGGTGTTACCCCCAGGAAAAGCCCAGCAGTCTGGGGCTCTGGCTGTTGGTTTGTGTGTTGAAACAGACTTCAGGCCCTACACGCGTCACTGACCTGATTTAGTTTTTATCTGAAAATCTAAAACACTGGCTTTGGTCTATCTCACTACTGCTTCCATAAAACTTGAGGGGAGGGCTGGAGAGATGGCTCAGAGGTTAAGATCACCGACTGCTCTTCCAAGCGTCCTGAGTTCAATTCCCAGCAACCACATGGTGGCTCCCAACCATCCATTATGAGATCTGGTGACCTCTTCTGGTGTGCAGATATACATGGAAGCAGAATGTTGTATACATAATAAATAAATAAAATCTTAAAAAAAAAAAACTTGAGGGGATTCTGTGTTGTTCCATCTTATACCTTGTGTATTTTCTCTAAGAGGTGGATCATTTTCACCTGTTGATGGCACTTCTCCTGGGCCTTGCTGTAGAGCAGAATGAGCAGATGAATCCACTTACTCATCTGTTCCAGATGATATCATCTGCACTGCTAACATCCAGACAGCTGTCTGCACTGTGACCACAAGGCCTTTCCCTCCCCGGCCCGGGCTCATGGAGTGGGGAGGCTCCCATGTGCACACACAGGAGGGCTGGTTTTCAGCAGCCTCCTGAAACAGCCCCACTAGTGTCTCACCAGGGCCCAGAATAGCAATCAGGCTCTCCAGTCTGTATTCTAGATTATCCCCTCATAAAAACAATAATAGGATTGACCTTAGCCAAAGAATGTTCCCAGTTTAGCTACATTTACACTGCTGCAGCATTTTCTGGAAATGTTATGTTGGAAGGATCGTCTGCACAGTGGCCTGTGTCCATGACATCTTAAGTACCTGTTAGCTACATTGTCTCCACTTGTAGGTTTATTCCAGAATGCCTCTGTTAAAACTCCTTACCGTAGGGCTAGTCACTCCTTAGGAGGTGCCAGAGGAAAATTCAGTAGATAAAGACAAAAAGCTTTTACCATTGAAAAGTATTGGCTGTTTAATACTTAAGATGTTTAGTTAGAAAGCTCCAGCAGGGATTTGGGGGAGTGTAGACTATTAACTGGCTGATTTTCCTTGTGTGCATGTATTAAAATGACTCACATAGCATTCAGCTTCACCTCAGCTCTTCTCTTGTTAGCCAAGAGCCCAGTGTCCTTGGAAACAGTAACCAAGGTTACTTATCTCCATACTGTGCATTGTGTCAGGCAGCTTCACCCACTGCTTGAATGGCGATTAATAAGCACCGCTCTGTTTGGGAGCTGTGCTTTGCCTTTCTGTTCCTGTGGGTTGGTGTGTGACCTGTGTGTGGACACGCTGGAGATGGAGGAGGCTCAAGGCGGGATCAGATATTACCTCTGCTTTCCTTTCTGTGTCTGCTAGTTATTATTCCCTCTGGGATGCACATTTTTAAATTAATATTTTGTGTTGCTATACATATATTGGGTGTTTGGGTTTTGCTTGTTTTTACGTTTGGTCTTATATCCTGTTTTTCTATTTATTTGTCAAAAGATTTCTTGAAAACAGAAATTGGAAATGCTTGCTTTACACCAGGGTCTCTCTGAGAATTCTCCTAAGTACCTCTGAGGTCACACACCTTTTGTTAACAGTTCACTAATGAACTGACAGTTCCAGGCATTTGTCATAAAGCAGGGGCCACTGGAGCCGGCTGGAGACACTCCAGCGGACATCAGAATACAGGTCAAGATGTGTGTAGCCTGTGGTTTTATGTCTAGATTGGGTACCATTTCCTTGGAAAAGGGGTCACCAAATGATATTTGAAAAGCCCCTCCTTCCAAAGTCCAGCCAAGGAAATAGGACTTAAGTGAAACAGCCCATAGTGTGTTTTGTAAATGCCACTTTACAAATACTTTTCTAACAAAGCATCATAAAAGTTGTTTTACTTAGTTTCATTCTTTTATGTTGAATGTAGTACAAGTGACTTACAAAGCATTCACCTCTCATGTCATAGCTGTGGCTGCATTAACTGGATGAATGTCGCAAGCCCATAAAACATGTCTTGTGTGTGATCTGGGATGTGGTCCCAAATATTAAAAGACAGTGTGCAGCCTTTCCCCTTTGTCTACATTTTAATAAACAACTACTCTAACTGTTGTGTGTATGCACTGTAGAACTGGAAGTCTAAATCCGCTCATGCTAGTTCTAAGCTGCCCCCTCTCTAATGGGAAACACCCTGACTCCAGACAGCAGCCCATTTCTTTGTTGGGTTATAATTCCACAGATGAACACAGAACAAAGCACTGAGGAAGGTGTTACCCTCCCAGGAGCTCCAGGACACCTGTAGTTCCAACCAAGTGCTCATGTTTACCTGGATGTCTTTTTTCAAGGGGAGGGGCTACTGTGTCTGTATGTTCCTGTCAGAGGATGGCCATGGGTGTCATTCCCCAGGTGGGGAGGGACCCAGGAGCAGAGCAAGGAGGAGAAGGAAGAGACTTTAAGAAAGAAGTAGCAGGTGGGGAAGGAGTGATGGCATGGAACTTATTAAGTAGGCCTGGCTGGCTGGCTGGCTGGCTAAAAGGCCACAGGGATAATGCTGTGTCCACCCCCCCACCCAATACTGAGATTATAAGTGTGTGCCATCATACTTGGCATTTCTTCTTTATTTTTTCCCCTTTTATTGAAATTAATTTTTTTTTCTCACACAATATATCCTGATTATGGCTTCCCCTCTCTCTACTCCTCCCAGTTCCTCCCCATCTGCCCTCCCCTCAATTCAAATCCACTCCCTTTCTATCTCTCATTAGAAAAAAAAAAAGGTTAAGAGAAAATAATAAAATATGAGATAAAGCAAAAACTAACACATAAGAGTTGGACAAGACAAAAAGAAGGAAAAGAGCCCAAGTGAAGGCACAAGAATCAGAAACCCACTCATTCTCACACTCAGGAGTCCATAAAAAACACTAACTGGAAACCATATGCATGCAGAGAACCTGGTGCAGACATGCAGGCCCAGTGCTTGCTGCCTCATTCTCTGTGAGTTCATATGAGTTTTGCTCATATTGATTTAGAGGGCATTGTTTTCTTGGTGTCGTCCTCCTCTGGCTCTTACACTCTTTCTGCCTCCTCTTCCATGGGTTTCCCAGAGCCCTCCCTAGGTCCCTGGACTATCTAGTTTCTTGGTCACCCAAACAATGTTGGGTATGGGTTCCATCTTGTGGAGTGGCCATAAGCTTTGTGTGACCATTGCCCTAGCATATTTTTCAGGCAGGATACCATTGTAGATCAAAGGCTTTGTGGCGGGCTTGGTGTTTCTGCTTCTCTTTTGATAGTGTGGCAAGTACCTTCCTGTACCAAAGATGCTAGAACATAGGGATGAAGGCTCTATATAGGCATCAACTTGACTTCTTCATGTTCAGTGAGTTGTGTAGGTGTTGTCTTCAGCAATGTGGACTTGCTGTCAGTTTGTGGAGAACAACTTATACTGTTAGCAAGAGTTTGTGTGTTTGGGGATTCTCATGGGACTCTTTTGTTCAACAATCCAATGAAATGTAACCCAGTCCTGGTACTGGAAGCTTGTTTTGATGACAAGAGATGTGCACTTGGGACTTTGTCTCCCCCATTATTTGATGATCTCATTTAGATCACTTTCATGGATGTATATACTTTAGGAAACTCCTATTGTATTAGGTTTCCATGCTACCCTTCAAATGGCCCTTAATTTTAGCTGTCTCTCACCACATTCCCCGCCTCATTGCCCTTCCCTACTTGATCCTTCTGTTCCAGCCCTCCCATCCATAACTACCTATTCTATTTCCCTTTCCTAACAAGATCTGCCCACTAGTCCGCCATTACTCAATACCTAACCTCTGTGGTTCCATGGACTATAGCTTAATTATCGTTAACAGCTAATAGCCACTGTAGTAGAATATTATTTTAAGGTGTGTGACTTTTGTTTAAGCTGTATTTGCTTGACTCTGTGAAGCTGTGTGACTGTGCCCATTTAAATTACCTGACAGTCTAATAAAGAGCTGATGGCCAATATCGAGGCAAGAGCAAGAATAGGCAGGGCTGGCGGGCAGAGAATATAAATAGGAGGAGAAACTAGGAAGAGAAAGAGCAATGAGAGAACAAGGAGAGGAGGACTTTAGGAGGGAGCCAGGCAGTCAGCCAGCCCGCCAGCCAGCCAGCCACGGAATAAGAAGGAAAATAAGATATACAGAAGTAAGAAAGCTAAAAG